TTTTAGTAGAGACGGGGTTTCACCATGTTGACCAGGATGGTCTCGATCTCTTGACCTCGTGATCCACCCACCTCGGCCTCCCAAAGTGCTGGGATTACAGGCTTGAGCCACTGCGCCCGGCCGTGCTCAAGTTTTAAGATCTCCATATGGCTTGATCTTTTAAATCTAGCCTTGCAATCTTTGCCTCCTGACAGAAATATTTAGCCTACTGATAGATACTTTATAGTTTTATCCTGTTTGTTTTTCCACACCTTTTTCCATTTCTCACTTTGCTTTGATTATAGGTTTTTTTCTCTCTTCCCATGTTTCTCTCTCTGCTAGTTTGGAAACTAGGTACTCTATTTTTATTCTTTTAGTGGTTGATCTTAAAATTTTAACATGCATTCTTAATGTATAAAAGTCATAGGTTAATCAGTATTTCTACCTTCCTCTTGAATAATGCAAGGACCTTTTGTTGACAGCTGTTGTGAGACCTCGGCTTATTTTAAAAGAATTTAAACAAGATACGCAGCAAAGGAGATGCAACATAGAGTACTTTATTGCAAAGGAGAAAGAATATTTGGAAAGTTAAATGCACAATACGCGGTACACCTGAGAGAGAGAATTCAGGGCCAGCTACTCATAAGGATGAGACAGCAAAGACTGGCACCAGGGAGACTCCCTTTATGGGAGTCTTACCTGATTATTCATAAAGAAGTGGGAACAGGTGCTACTAGTAAGTATGTTCTGGATGGTCCTGTGAGTGCACATGTGCATTAGCTGTATGTTCATACAATGCTTGTTGTTTATACAATGCTTGTTGTACATGCTTGTATATGCTTTTCATACATGTCGCTTGTCTTGTTCGCATCTTAAATCTCCAACCAGGGCTCTCTTTTTTACTATTAAAATGAGTTAAGGGTAAGTCTGAAGACAGGTAAAATCAAAATATGCATGCTCTCTGCAGGGTAAATTCTCTACTGAAGATAGCTTTTCTTGAATGAGCTTAACTGTATGTCAGTGCTGAGGCTTATTGCATTGATCATACAGTCAACACAGTTGCTGCATTCTGAGGACATGGTTACTTCCTTGATTACCTATCCTGCCTCCCTTTCAATGCTCTCATTTCATCCACTACCTTTTAACACATATGCGATTTTTGTCTTGACTTCATTTCTATCTTTGTTTTCAAATCCTCCATATGGCTGGGCGCCATGGCTCACGCCTGTAATCCAGCACTTTGAGAGGCTGGATCACGAGGTCAAGAGATCAAGACCATCCTGGCCAACATGCTGAAACCCCGTCTGTACTAAAAATACAAAAATTAGCTGGGCATGGTGGCGCGTGGCTGTAGTCCTCGCTGCTTGAGAGGCTGAGACAGGAGAATTGCTTGAACCCAGGAGGCAGAGGTTGCAGTGAACTGAGATTGTGCCACTGCACTCCAGCCTGGTGCCTGGTGACAGAGCAAGACTCTGTCTCAAAAAAAAATTCCTCCATATTAGACTTAATTCTATCTACAGTTAGTATTTTCAAATATACAACATTTTTATTCTTAGAGTCCATGTCTCACTGTCACCTAGGCTGTCCTGGGCTCAACTGATCCTCCCTCCTGCCTCAGCCTCCCAAGTAGCTGGGACCACAGGCATGCATCATCATACCTGGCTAGTTTTGTAATTTTTTGTAGAGATGGGGTCTCACCAGGTTGC